TATAGTATACCAAAACACAAAATGACAAAATTTTTTAAAAAGGAACAATCAAATTCTGGTTAGTGAGACCTCCTCAGGTCCACAAAACTTCATATAATTAATGAAATGTTGCATGAGCTATCATGTCGCCCCAGAATTTGACAGAAACAAAGTTGAGGAGGCACCGTCATCCCTCCTTATCCAGAGATTGGTCCTAGAATCCCACAGATAACCAAAACTTTGACACTCCAGTCCCTTATATAAAATGGCAGTATTAGCGCATGACCTCTGTGCATCTTCTCTGCATCGTAACACGCCTATTTGTACAATACTTACACAACATTTCACCCAATGTAAATGCTACATAGCTACTGGACTGCATGGCTAGGAAATAATGACAAGAACAAAGTCTGTAGATGATTAGGATACTTTCCATCTCTGATTGGTGGTATCTGCAGACACAGAGGGCAAGCCGTACAGACATCAAGGGTCAGGTATCAGTGGAGTCAGGCATGGCTCACTCACCTCCCTGCCACACCCACCTTGGGGATCTGGCACCTCCTTACCATCCTCACCTTTTATAGAGGCAACTGTCAAAAGTGAGGGGGAAATCACCTATTCAACTCTTCAGAGAGTCAAGTGAAGAGGAAGGTGTTCACTAACAATGCCTAGAGCCTCCAAGAGAAATCATTCACTGAGATCAAGTGTCATGAAGAAGGGGTGACTGGCATCACATTCTCCAACTCAGTGTCTGCATACACAGTGAACTGTGTGACAGACTCAGTACAAGGACAACCAAGGAGAAACAGCAGTTCACAGGAGAGACACAGACAAGCAGCCTGCACACCATTTGGGATCAAAAGGATAATAATTTTCAAACCTTGAATGGCAAGTAGTAGTACTAAACAAGTGGTTTAGTAGGACTAAACTCAAGTGGTCTTGTCATCACCAAAGAATCTGACTACAGAGAGAAAAAAATCCTCCCCTGACTTACCCTAGAACACTCAAGAATATGCTTGCAGTGTGTTGGCTGGAAAGTTTAGCACAGAAAATTTCACATGCAGGAAATGCTCAGTAGGTGGTCTTCCTACAACTCTAACAAGGGAAGAAGGCCAGTCTAGCTATCAGTGGACATCAATGGCGGGCCAATGTTAATCAAAAGAGGGCTTTAGAAGAACCAGATAAAAAACATTTCCCTTTTTTCATTAATCTTCTCAGTACTCCCAGTCTAATTACATCCCTGAAGGGGAACAAGAAAGAGGTATCCCTAGAGCACGTGATTTAGGCAGAAAGTGGCCAGGCCCTGGGGTCAAGGGGAAAACAAGTTCTACAATCAATATAAAATTAATAGTTTTAGTGGTATTCACTAGACACTATGTTGAAAATGAACTAGATACATCCTGTGGGTGTGGATGGGAGGAAAAACTGAGAGAGTGCAAGGCAAGGGGTAACACTGTGGTGACACTGTCCAAAAAGAAGTGTACTTTTTGCCTGACTTATGTAACTGTAACCCCTTTGTACCCCCCTTTATAATAACGATTTTTAAAAATATTTTTAAAAGCCAGGCGCCAGTGGCTCATGCCTATACTCCTAGCTACTCAGGATGCTGAGATCTGAGGATTGTGATTCAAAGCCAGACCCGGCAGGAACATCCTAGAAACTCTTATCTCCAATAAACCACTCAGAAAACTGGAAGTGGTGCTCTGGCTCAAATGGTAGAGCGCTAGCTAGCCTTGAGCTAAAGAGCTCAGGGACAGCACCCAGGCCCAGAGTTCAAGACCCACGACCAACCAAAAAATATATATTTTTTAAAAGATTAATAGATTACACTGGCTAGATTAGACTGGAGTTCTTCAAAATGATGTAAAAGCTATCTCGATATATTGAGGCTGTATGGAGGAAAGGACAGAAAGAACTTACCAAAGCATTGTTGAAGCAGTGAATGGCAATAATTTAACACTGTCTTATATCATACGTTTGTTCTCATCAAGTCTGGACTGCTCAATGACCTGACCTGAGGACATATGCGTTAACACTGCTTGCAAGGGGAGAAAGCACCTGACATGGAGATGCTCAGGGAGGATTTACTGCACTGGGCAAGAAGCCCTGTTAGAAGCCCGCTGTGATAGCTTCCAATTCTAGTGTTTGTTGAATCCAGAATCTAGAGCTCAATGGCTAAACTAAAAAAAGAAAGGCTCCCTGAAGTGGGAAAACCACAACCTTTTGAAGAATAAAGCTAACAACAGACTGACAAGTCTGGTAAGTTTCACTTGGAAAAAGTATTTTAGTCTAAAACATATTTAATTTTTAAAGGAATATCCTAAATGACTCTTATTTTCTTTTACAAAATTCCACAGAAATTTCAGCTCAATAATGAAAGCCTGATATCCTAGCTACTCAGGAGGCTGAGATCTGAGGATTGAGATTTGAAGACAGCCCAAACAGTAAAGTCTATGAAACTCTTATCTCCAATTAACTATGAAAAAAAAGCTGGAAGTGGAGCTGTGGCTCAAGTAGTGGAGCACTCCTAGCCTTGATTACAAGGCTCAAGGACAACACCTAGGCCCTGAGTTCAAGACCCAGAACATCAAGACCCAGAAACACACACAAACACACACACACACACACACAAACACACACAGCTTGATATAAAATCCCTGAAACACTACCTTCCCAAATCAAAGCTATTCAACCAGTCAGGAGGCTTACTAAAATAAACAGCAAACAAATACTTGCTTGGATCTCATTTAGAAGTTACAAATTCACATACTTTATCACATAGTACCTACAAGGAAAAATATTACTTTGTTAAGTGGTTTAAAATTACTAATTTTAACAGAGTCCTACTGCTTAGCAAATATCAACAGAAAGTTTACCTTTCAAACAAAAGCATGTTTCTAAAACTAATTAAGCATTACAGGCAAGCATCTAAAGCTACCAAAAATATCTGAGTCATGAAGTCCTTTCAGATACCAAGTCAATAACCATCCAAATGCTGTGTACTCACGAATGCTCAGAAAACTTAAAATTCAGTATTTATCTCCTACTGAATCCATTTATGATTGCAGATCTCAAGTGATTTCTTAAATTTTGAAACTTAAAAGTCTTCACACTACCAATGAAGGGTTAAAAGTAACTCCATTTCGAAGCAGTAACCATTCTGCTGTTCATATTAACCCAGAGCCCATCCGAATTAAAATAAACTGCTCAAGTAGGTGAGCACCCATGCTCACAGCAATAAGCTAATGAGAAAGTACTTGGGGCAGTCACTGCTACAGTACTTGAAACTTTCTATATCATTAAAGCAATTATGAAAGTTTTGTCCCATCTGAATAGTTACTACATTCTATGAGAAAGCTATCTTCCTCATTTTTACTAATGCCAGGGTTAAACATTAAGAATAGCTAACATCAAGCAATATGTTGACATCAAAGTCTGACTAAAATTATACTAAAAAAATGATTTTTTAGATTTCACTCTGGGCTTTCCAGTACCACACCATCGAAGTGATAGTCTTATAGTCTTATATGACTAAGAATATTCAGCCTTAGGTAAAAACATTCTTTTTTTTTTTTTGCCTGAACTCTGGGCCTGGGTGCTGTCCCTCAGCTCTCCAGCTCAAGGCTAGGGCTCTACCACTTGTGGCATAGCACCACTTCCAGCTTTTTCTGCTTATGTGGTGCTGAGGAATCGAACCCGGGGCCTCATGCATGCAGGGTAAGCACTCTACCACCAAGCCACTTTCCCAGCCCCTTGGCAAAAATATTCTTAAAATTGCTTTTTAAAAGCTCTATCCAATGTGAGTGTTTTTTTTTTTGGGGGGGGGAGACATCTCGATAAAAATACCAAATGTTTCTACCTTCCCCAAGTATGTTCTAGAAGTTTTCAATAGCATCATATCCCATAATGTGTTAGCCAATACTTAAAGATTGGCCACAATGGCTTTCAAAGAAAAGAACCCAATGCTATTCTTAACATCCTTGAACACTTCTAAAAAGGTCCTTCCGGCTTATGAACTCATGGCAGTTTCCTCACAATTGTATACTTATCCTGTTCCACTGTCTCTCCTGGTCTCTGACAAACGCATTTACACACCATCTCTCTTTCCTATTTTGCTTGCTACATTGCTAAAAATATAAAGGAAAAAGTTACAAACCTAATCTCCTCTCTCCCATAGCAACAATAAAATTACTAATTAGCAAGATAAAGAAAGATGGAAAGCAACATGCTCCCTGTGGTAAAAGTAATCCACTGGTTGCCCATAAAGACAAATTCTCAAACCTACATCTTGATATAAAAGGAAAGAAAAACCTGTCAATGAACACACTGTAGAGTTTACAGCTTCTACTAGATTGGCCTTCAGCCTAAATTCTGCCAAGCTTAACACTGTTGTTGAAACGAACCAATAATCTAAAGTGTAATTTCCTTTGCGATGATTTGGCTAAGATGAGGAATATTTGAACAAAATTATTTGGGGAAGTATTTTTTTCACCACAGGTGAAAAAAAAAAAGTATGAAGAATAAGAAGCAGTTTAGTCAAAATAAAACTTACTAATACTGAAATAGTTCCATGTTCTCCAGATTCCAAAGAAAAAGGTTGACTTTTTTTCCCAAAATTTTTCTCTGACTTACACATCATTCACCCAAATATTGCCGCATTTTTTTCCAATGGTGTTAAACATACAAACCACGCAAGCTGGGTACTTGGGGGAAGTAAAGCAAATTGCTCAGTAGTTCTAAGATAAAAGACAATGGTAAGAACCTTAGAGTGCACGATTTGTTCCAGTCATTAAACACACAGGAAATAAGATTTTCTAGTTAGAAAACCAATTCACAAAGGGCAATGACTTCATTACAGCAAAGAAAACCTTATTAAAACACACAACACTCAATTGTAAAGAAAACGAGTACTGCATGGGCTCGGGAGAGGGAAGAGAAGAACGTGGCACGCACGGCTCGAATACGTGCTCCCGACCGTTCCGAGACGTTCTTGGGGTGTAGCACAGCCAGGACCTCCGTACCCAAAGCGGCAGGTGCAAATGCCGAGACCACTTTCCCCGGAGGGGCTACCCCCGGGCCGTCCACACCAAGCGTCGGGAACGAACCACAGGCCGCCCGGGACGGCCCGCCAGCCTCGCGCCCGGGTCCCGCCGCGTGACCTTGGGCGCGGAGTCGCATCCAACTCGCGCCCCGGCCGTCCGCGCCACGAGGATGCGAGCGGACATCACCCGCACGGCGCGAGGCCCACCTGGACGGGCCCGGGGCGGAAGCGCGCTCACGCTCCAGGAGGGGATGCCCGCGGGCACGCGCCCCGGGGTCGCCGCCGGGAATCCCGGACAGCTGGCCGGCACGTCCACAGCGGCACAGGGAGGGGGAGGGCCGGAGAAAAGAGGAGAAGTGGACGGAGAAAAAGAGGGAAGGAGAAAAGGGGAGGAGAGAGAGGGCGAGAGGAGGAGGGAGGGCGGGCAAGAGAGGAGGGAGGGCGCGCCCGCAGTCCCCGGCGGGAACCCCCG